ACACACACACACACACACACATTGTACACACACAGTACATGTACACACACACACACACACACACACAGTACATGTACACACACACACACACACACACACACACACACACACACACACACACACACACACATACACACACTGTGTGTGCTCCCAGCTAGTCCTGGTTTCAGTAAAACCGAGGTTCAGGTTTAAATATGTAGATGTTAAATCATCAGTTAGTGTAAAGCCAAGTAACAAGTCAGATCCAAAACCAGTCTAAACCAGTGTAAAGCCAGTGTACTGCAGTGGGTCCACTGGGAGCTCAGAGGTCATTGAGGGGAAACATCAGACTAATGAAACTCTCTGTCAGATTCACTGATCAATAACCACCAACACACTAACAAACCTGTTATCTACAGCCTGTTTGTCCTGAAACAGTCGAGTGTCGAGTTCAGAAAAGAATCATTTCTGAAAGAAGCTTCAAAACTTAAAACACGAGACGATATAGAGACAGTTTGAGTGAACAAATACACTGAGTTCTCATCTACAGATAAAATAAAACCTGAATAATTCAGTCTGTTTTATGGATCTGCAGCAGGTTGTCTGTTTCTGTCTTTACAGCTCTGAAAACACAAACGTCTCCTGTTTTCTTCACATGAAACTTTATTAAAAAGACGTCAGAGGATGACAAGCTGTCTTCGTCCTCTCGCTGTAAACAGGTTCATGTCTTCACAGCAGCAGTGAAACTGATCAGATTAGAGTTCATCTCCAGCTGTTAGCATCCAGTGATGGAGGCTGTTTGTGTGTAACACCTGGATCTGTACTCCATCCTGATTGGTTCTGATCCGTCCTCTGTCCTGTCTTATGTGTCCTTGAGTATTTTTCGGATCATTTTGTCTTGATGAATGAGTGAAGTCACAGGACACAGTGTTGTCTGGTCCTTTTGAGTCTGTCCTGCCTGTCTTACTGCTTTGTGTCTTAACGGTCCTTGTCTTCTGTCCGCTCATGTCTCTTGTGTTGTTTGTTGTAACTCTCGTCCTGACTTGCCTTGTTCTACATTTATCTTGTTTTTGTCTGTTTGACAAGAAACTAAAGGGACAAATGAAGACCTGGACCAGGACATCTCGTCTTGTTGCTTTGTTGTGCTTCTCTGTTGTCACGTCTCGTCTGGTTCTGTCCTCCTGTCTCTGCGTCTTTGGGTTTGTGGACTCAGTGATGTGTCTCTAACAGTTTGACAACTCCAGTCTGGTTCTGCTTGTCCGTCCACATGATGAAACGTCTTGTCTGTTTGTCTTTAGAAGGTCTCACGAACTAAAACAACAGAAACTTTATTTGTATTAGAGTTTAAATCATGTGCGGCCAACAGACGGAGACGTTTTTATAGTCGGTTTGAACCTCGATGATGACAGATCGTCGTCTGTCCCCAGTGTTTGTCCGGCAGTTTGTCTTTCTTTGTTTTTCTACTTTGTGATGAAATAAGACGAAGGTCCAAACTCCTTCACAAACATCAGCTGCTGCTTCAGTTCACTTCTAAAAGAATTCTTCAGATCAGAGCCAGAACAGAAACACAAACTTTGTGGTGTCACTGTAAAACCTGTAAAGTCTCAGACTGGACTGAAGTCAGATCTCCTGTCAGATGTGCACAAATTTAACCACGTTTAAAGCAAACTGGAAAACGGGGTGATGTCGGTCTAAGACCAAGTCAGAAACTAGTCAAAAACCCATCTAAACCCAGTCCTCCCCCTTCCTGCCTCTCCACATTGTCAGCAATCAGATGAAGAAAAAACTAAAGTAAAAAGCATTTGTCTGTTTTCACACTTTTTCCTGAAGCTGACAGACGACATCCTGCCTGCAACAGGTTCAGGGTCCACACCGAACAGAACTGCAGTCAGAGCTGAACTCAAGAAAAGACAACCACATCTGACATGGAAGACGGGAATTGTCCCTTTAAATATTATCTCAAAAACCAGTCCAAAACCAATCTAAAACTTGTATAAAAACCAGTGTAAAACCAGTCTTAAACCAAGCCTTCAGACTTGACAGTGAAAATGTCAGCTGTCCCTTTAAACTTCCTCTGTCTGTCCGCTCAGTGTGATCGATGTGTTTGTGCTCGGTGTGGTTTTCCGGTCATGGCTGGTGGTTTCAGTCTCATACGTCCTGTCTTCCTGTTTCCAGTGTTCCCAGTGTTCCCAGTGTTCCCAGTGTGACAGCCAGCTGGTACAAATTTACTTGGCAGTGCTACGCTTACAAGCAAACTCCCTGCAGGATCAGAGTACGACTGTGAGAAGTTGTTTTGTGACTGAGAATTTTAAACTGCGGCATCACAAACTGTCAAGTACATTGACAGCAGAACTGTGTACTTTTACTGTGCTTCCTGCAAAACCTGCAGCTGTGTTACTCTGTGCTCTTCTATATAGGGAGTAATTCAGCATGATTCTCACTGTGGCAAAATCCTTTTCTAATTCATAATGATGCAACATGATCCTGGTGTGTTCTGAAGGTCAAACGGTCCTTCCATTGTATAGAACTGGTTCTGACCAACCACCATCACACATGCTGATATGAGCCTGGAAAGTTTACCCAGAATGCACTTTGTAAAGTTTCCTCTGGTGACTGATCAGAACCAGAACCACATCCAGGGTACCACTGATTGTTTCTATAACTCTATGTCATAGACATTAAACTGGTACCACTATGATCCATCCCATAATACTGATGCTAGCAGCTGCTGACAGAGGACATGAACAGAACCAGGTCCAGTGTTCAGACTGAGACACCTGGATGGATGTAGAACTGATCTGGTGTTGATGCTAAGGAAAAATTTGGTTTTGACAAAGTAATTATTGAGACACTAAAAGCACTATATAATAGGCCATCAGCAAGACTTAAAATTAATGGTGAGCTGACTGACTCTTTCTCCATAGAGAGATACAACAGACAGGGATGCCCATTGAGCCCACTTTTATTTGCGATAAATTATTATTTATTGAGCCACTGGCACAGTAGATTAGACAGAACAATAAGATTAAAGGTATACAAATGGCAGCAGGAGAACAAAACTTAGATTTAATTGCGGGATAATATTCTTGCCTACCTTTCATGCCCAACAGATTGTTTACCTGAACTGATGTCAGTGCTACATGAATATGGTTCATACTCAGGTTATAAACTAAATGAGCGAAAAACTCAGGCTTTTAACTTTCACTTTAATCCCCCTTAGTATCTTCAGTTCAAATATCAGTTAAGCAAGGCAAGAAATCGATAAAATATTTAGGAAGTTCTTTACCTACTGACCTATCCAAATTAGATGAAATCAACTACGGACCTCTCAAAGAAGATATCATAACATATATTAAAAATGGAATATAATTCCCAACCTAAACATGAGTTCACATATTGATTAAATAAAAATTTAAATCATGCCAAAACGTTTATATTTATTCCAGTCAGTACTCATTGAAGGTTCACAACTGTTTTTTCAGAATGGGAACACGTTATCTCTAGATTTACATGGGCAGGGAAAAAAACAAGTGTAAAATTCACAGCCCTACAACGACCTAAGAAAAAAGGGGTACTAGCTCTGCCATGTCTTAAAGACTACTACAGAGCAGTCGGAGTGGGCCATGTTCAAAGCCTCCATTGCAGAAGCTGCTGTTAGGAACTGTGGCCAGAAGGTCACTGGTGCCTGTCGTGGCAGCAACCCCAAAGTGAGGGAGTTTGAGTATCTTGGGATCTTGTTCAAGAGTGACGGGAAAAAGGAGCGTGAGGTGGACAGGCGGCTCGGTGCGGCATCGGCAGTAATGCAGGTGCTGTACTGGACCGTCATGGTGAAGAAGAAACTGAGCCGCAAGGCAAAGCTCTCGATTTACCAGTCCATCTACATCCCAACCCTCACCTATGGTCATGAGCTCTGGATTGTGACCGAAATAACGAGATCGCGGATACAAGTGGGTGAACTGAGCTTCCTCTGCAAGCTGGCTGGGCTCAGTCTTAGAGATAGGGTGAGGAGCTCAGACATCAGATTTTATAATAAATGACTCAGGACTCGTGCTGCTGTACTACTAACCCTCTGTGCTGTTGATGCTCACACAGATATTTCTGTTTTTGGTGGTTTTCTGACAAATCATAATATTTTTAAAGAGTACTGCTCTCTGATTGGCTAATGTCTGGCTGTACGTTCCCATGTTACTGTGAAATGTTTCCATGACAAATGACCAACATTTGTCCTCACCTGGGAACGTCCTGTTCCACATCCTGCGGGTCACAGCGTCTCCTCGGGGCCTCTGAACTCCCCCAAGAGCTCCTGGTCCTGGTCCCTGCTGGCTCAGGGTCTCGTTCAGAGCCTGAGAGTACAGCATCACTCCATCGTAGAAACCTCCAGCAATCAGGTTGTACTGGTGGAGACACAGACAGTCTGCTGTTTGTTCTTTATGTTCAACTACTCAGACTGCAGTTAATCATTCATGATCAATATCTGTACCAGAGAGTCTTTGATGGTGAAGTTGAACATTCTCTTTGCGTCGTTCTTTAGAGTTTCAACAAACTGAAGATATTCTGGATTCTGTGGCTCCAGGTAGGTCAACACCTTCACACTCTGACAGCACACAGAGTTCACTGATCAATAATAATTCAATCAATCTGATCACTTTACCGCAGAGCAGCAGTGAAGGGCGTCTCACCCTGAAGGCGAGGCGGGCGGCGTGGTCGTCCTCGTCCCCTCTGGACCATGGCCGGACCGGGCCACCGCCGCCCAACCCCTCTGCAAACAGATCGATGAAGAAGAAGACATAGTCCTCCAGCTCCACCCCCTCCCTCCACAAGTGGACCATCAGAGTCCTGAAGATGTCCCAGGAGCAGCAGAGGTACACCACTGGAGAAGAGCAGGCCAGATGAGACAGGTGGGACAGGTGGTCAGTGAACACATCACGACGACTTGCTGCTGACTAAGCAGTTTCTCAGATAAAACAGTTTCCAGGTGAAGTTACCTGATGCTTAATCATCCCCCACAAAGACACACAAAGGGACAAAATGACACACAAAGACACAAAATGAGACACAAAGAGACAAAGACACAAAAAGACAAAAAAAGAGACACAGAGAGACACAAAGATTAAAAAGGTGACAACAAGAGACGCCAAGAGACGTTTGTGGCTGTTTCATCTCTTTGTCATTTTCTATCAGTTTGTGTCTTGTGTTTTGTTGTTGTATGCATCTGTTCAGTCATTTTGTGTCTCTTTGCTGTAGTTTTCTGTCTGGTAACTGTTTTGTTTCTTTGTTGTGGTTCTGTGTGTCTTTGTGCTTCAGTTTGATGCTTCTCCTCCACTCAGACTGTTTCTGTGTTGTTCTGTGCTTTAGATTTGTGAGCTCCAGTGTTTGTGAAACTACACTGTCAAGAGTCTTCAACCAACAGAAAACCAGTGAAATCTTTAGTTCTTACTTCCTCATGAACAGGCAGTTATTGTGTAACCGGGTTCAACCTGCCGCCGCCAGCGCTTATTATTAATAAATGCACTTCTTTAGTTTTCTTAGAGAACATTTAGTGGGACAGATTTAACCGGTGAAGGCATATTTGCTGCATGGCAGAACATCCATGATAACATGATTGGTTTTCAGGAGGTAATCACACTTAATATTGGCACACTTTGTTTCCTGGAGCATGTCTGCCTTTTTTTATAATCACATTGTATATGAGTGGAAAAACTCTCTGACCAGTAGCAGACCCATTCGGACAACACGTCTGAGCCATGACACTTTTAAAAAACACAACTGGTTGGTTTGGTACCTTTACCCTAACGGTACGCTTTTACAGATTAAACCTGAAAAAGTGATCACACCTTTAAAACAAAATATGTGAAGTCTTTGTTTTGGGTGATTCATGCAGGTGAGTCACTTACTGAACGTTGTTAAACAGTAACAACAGAAACACTGTAAAATCTTAAATGACCTTATTTTCTACTGTAGAGACGAGAGCTGCGAGTCCATGTAGCCGTAACACCAGACACTGTAAAATGCAAAAAGCAAGCGCAGTACATACAGCAAATCAAACCTGGAAGGCAGGAGGTTGAACCGAGTTACACAGTATCCGCCCAACAGGGACGCTGTGAGAAGTAAAGCGAGTGCATCTGCGGAAAGGCAGTGACGATGTCACTGATCAGCGTCATAGATGGCCTTTTATTGCAGACTTTGGACAGTGTTGTTTCACAAAGATCTGTTCATGAACCTGAGAGGAGACGTTTGGTGAGATCACAGAAACAGAGTGAATGAAGAAGACGCATCAAACTGAAGCTCAGCTGAGCAACAACAGAAGATCCGAGTAAACAGTCTGAGCAGAGGACAGTCTGGAGGGAAGAAAGCAGATCATGATTATCAGCCCCTCTCATTATGGGCTGCAGGCCAGCGAAGGTGTGGAGGACACACAAACCCAGCAGGTCATGTGACTGTGTGATTTATAGATTCACTGTGGGACAGAAACCGTGGAAACGTCCCACTGAACCCTGACAGAAACCCACCGAGTGGAAATATACACTGAGAGGAAGAGAAAAATAGACACACACACAGTCCCAGAGGTGGACAAAATAATCTGAACACTGAGGTTCACATGTGAAAATCAGAAACTCACAGAATGTTTTTAATGGAAACAACAAACCACAGCTGACTGAGACTAATGCTGCAACGTGTGCACGTACGCACACGCGCACAGGGATGATTACGGTGAGACTGTCCAGCGTTGCCAGAGGCAACAGCTGGTGTCACTTATTGAATCTGTGATGATGTCATGGCGTCTGATGTCATGGCGTTAATAAGCCGGACTGCACCAACACTGACTGCAGCCGATGAAAAACACAGTTGAACATACAATTGTTGTTACCGTGGAAACAATACCATCAACTTCTTCTGCACTAGTTCGATTCAATTCAATCTTATTTGTATAGTGCAGTTTACAACGTATGTCATCTCCCAGCGCTTAACATAGTAAGGTGAAGTAAATCACACTCACAGATCAGTTAGCGCTGTAACAGATGCAGTCTGCTATACCTGTGAGGACCCTCACCAACAGAATCACCTGGAACTGAAGCTGATTCTGATTTAAGTCTTGCCTGAATACAGATACAATGCAGGAATGTCCTCACAGCTAAGCCTTTAAACTGAAACTTTTTCACAAAGCGGGATTTACAATGACATACACAGCTAAGGTGAGTCAGTAACTTGGATGTCTCAATCAGGTGTTTTTTGTCTTCCTTCTGATCTGAATCATTTAATATTTAGTATCTGCTCACATCATTTTCCTAATAACAAACACATCATGTCTTGCAGTACCTGGTTGTTCCACCAGGTGGAGCCTCTCACTGTTTAGTCCTGTAGTGACCAGAGGAGGCGTCTACAGACTACAGCTCATGGTGGCAGCAGAGAGCATTGTGGGAGTTTAGCAGCAACAGGACCATGACAGAGACTCTGAGGAGCTTCAGGACCTCCGATGAGAGCTCATGACTTAGTGGAAGCCTGGATCATCGACATGAATGATCCTGTCTCCAGTCATGTATGTAACAGACTCTAAGTAGCCTGTTTTATGTGTGCATTGCTTAAAACAGCAATTTCATTACAGGACAGATGTCTAGTGATGACAGTTTTTATTAATATTATTAATTATTATTATAAACTAATCAATTATTGAATAATGATGCTGCACTGAAAGGAAATGTACTCAAATTCCAGACACCTGAGTGACAGCAGTCGTAAACAAAGGCTCAGGTTCAAGTTTGTTTTTTTTTTTTTTAAATATGGTCTTGATAGGCCCTATCCTGATCTTTGATATTGGATCAGAACATCTTTGTCAATCACCAGTATTAATAATTAACCATCAGTTAGCAAGGGAGAGGAAGGAAGGAAGGAAAAACTCGGGAGTAAAAGGAAGTCATGAAGTAGACACGGCCGCAGATTCTAACCTCTGCCGTTGTCGCGGATCTCCTGCACCGCCGCCTTGTAGTCGACGTTATCGGCCTCGATCAGGTGGTCCCGGATGGTGATGTTGCGTTTGCCCAGTAGGTCGTACAGACCCTCCACGGCGAAGTAACACGGCCGGTCGTCATTGGCGTCTTTGTTGTCACTGAACACGAGCATGGCGTGCCGCTGCCACCTGAATGTCTCCTGGATGCGTGCGCCGAACTCGCCCAGCTTCTTGTGGGTGGGGCCCGTGTTGGTGACCGCTGTATACAGGTTGAAGCCGATGGCGCGAGCGCCAGCCGTCACCATGGGAACATCCCAGTGCGTGGTGAAGCGAGCGACGGGTGACGAAGAGTAGTCGCAGCCGGGCCCAATAAAGGCCCAGGGGTCGTGTGACAGCTTGAGGTCTACGGCGACCAGTGGAGCAATGGAGTCTGAGCAGAACCCATCCCCGTTCTCAGAGTTGCGGTGAACCAGCTGGAGCTTTAGGCCTGGCAACAGCAAAGGGTCCGAGTTCACCCGCTGCACCGCCTGGTGGAGCGCTGGCGCCACACGAGGCCATGCCCATGCATAGTCCGTGTTATTCTGAGGCAGGATGGCTGCTAGAGTGACCTCCTGAAGATCATCTGTGGTGTTACCGGCAGATACAGAGGACTCAGCTGATTGGACGAGGAGCAGGAGGAGAAGCAAGGGGCGGGGAAATGGCAGCATGATGACAAGCAGCCTAAAAGCCTGTCAGACAACCTGCAGGGAAAGTATAATGCTGTGTTCACACCAGGCGCGAATTCATCGTGCTATTCGCGCGTTACGCGCGTATTTGAACGCGTGTGTGCACTGAGTTTACTCGCTTCATTCACGCTTATAAATAGCATCAAACTCGCTCAATTCGCGTCTATCGCGCCGCGCTTATCGCACGAGTCGCACCGTGGGACGTTTACTCGCATCTAATTGCGTCTTCACATTGACTTTGTGGCATGTAAATCATTCACGCGAATAATTTTACTCACGTCTGGTGTGAACACAACATAACACAACGGTAATTAAACAGCCTGTCAGACCATCTGATGGGTAAAAACCATAGACTGTATAAAAGTGACGTCACCCGTTGGTTTCTGCTCTGAGAACATGAAGCCAGGGTTTTACTACTTCCTGGTTGACATCTTGGATTTTTGGAGTCAGTGACGCAAAAATCGTGGGAGGGGGGCGGAGCCATAGGAGCAGCGATTGGTCAGACGGATTGAGAGGCGGGCCCTCTCTGCCCCGCCCACATTTACCGCCTTCTGCTCGCTTCGTCTGTATGGTCGCTGCTGACTGTCAATCAAGTCAGCCACGCCCCTTGGCCCACAACATGTTGACGATTTTTTAAAAATTCAGTATTGATTTATTTTCAGATTGGCCACCTGATCTCTGCATCTGACCATGAAAACTAATAAGAAAACAATCCTGAGCTGTAGGAATGCAGTATTTGGTGATCTGTGATCACTTCTTTTCCAGTTCCAGTCTATGGGAGCCAGGGCTTTGTGGAGCCAGCAGCTAGTGGACGTAGTGATGCTGCAGGTTTCTGACACTTCGGGTTGGATTCATTTTTCAGGGCCGGTTGCTACGTCCATCTTTTATACAGTCTATGGAAAAAACAACACAATATAAATACACTGCCTGTCAGACAAGCTGCAGGGTGATACTGCATAGTTTCTGTAAAAATAGAAAACCAACTTTGACAATAAAAGCCTTGTTTCTGTTGTAATGAGGTCAACATTTAATGAGCAAACTGGATTTCTGGGAGCTCCACCAAATGTTTCCATGTGAGAACCGTAAAGAGTGAGCCATTAGCTCCATATGGTCCGTGTGTATTTAATGTGCCACAGACATGGAAGTAATGCGCTTAATGGGGCCGGTACAGGATAATTGCTGGTTAAACACTGTGTTTACTGTCTGAGTCATGAGTAAACGAACAGACAAGCAGGATGATAAAGAAGCAGTGAAATCGTCAAAGACTCTGCTGTGTTTATTAAAAATAGAAGGTGGTGCATTCAAGGACACTCAGATTATCAGATATGACTCAGAAAACCAAATTCCAGGTAACATCTGAAATCGTGTTGCTGCCCATTTTCAGTTTACAGCAGTGAGTACAAACTTGTATAATATCACCTACGTGTCAAGTGACTCTAAACTGCATCACCTCACAGTAATCAGATTACTTCTCAGAAAAAGAGCGTATTTCCTCAGATGAACAATCAAAATCAAATCCTTCATAAAGACTATGTTGAAAA